CTTCCTCTTTTCCTTTCCTCTCCTATTTTCTAGTTAGTTTTGGTTTTGTTTTTCTTTGAGCTAGGGCATTGTTATGTAGCACTGCCTTGGACCAGTGACATGGCTCAGTACATAAAAGCACTTTATGCCAAACCTGATGACCTGAGTTTGACCTCCAGGACCAACATAGAAGAAGAAAAGTTGTCTTTTGTCCTCCACACATGTGCTGTGGCATTCATGCCCCACATATATAAACAAAAAATAAGAAATAAAATGCAATAAAAATGTCACGAACAGAAGTTCACAGGGGTCTAACCTTCTATTTCCCCAGGATCATTACTTCAGTATTTACTAATTTAGTATTCATGGGGACCATATAGCAAATAACCCAAGGGAATAATGAGGGCTGACTGTATCTAAAAATAAAATTAACATTTAAATGGATTTCCTGCATTGTATTTGCCAATTCTTTTTATATGGTTCTGCACAGAAAAGTCTACTGACTTTTGCTCTATGAATTTTCCAATTATCTTTCAATAAGAAATCCAATCACGTTTTCTGCTCAACATTCAAGCCTTCTGCCTCGCTCCCCATCCTCCCACCCCAGGGCATCTAAACAGGGCTTTCTGAATGCCCTGCAATACCCTTTCTGCTTCCTGTGTTTTCTGTCTGGACAGCAGCTTGTCCGTCTGCCTGGCAGCACTTCTTTGTTTCTGGAAATACAGTTTAACGTCACTTCTCTGGGTAATATTCACCCAGACTGAACTAGATGCACTTGTCAGAGTGTGGAAATACTAATTCGGTCTCTGATTTGCTGGGGTTTTTCTTTCCCAATTTCAGACAAATGCCATGAACCTTGCTTCTCTTCGGACAACTGTATCCAGTCCTGTACGGATGGCTTTAGTGGAGAAATACGATTCACATGTAATAAAAAAAAGTGGCAAAAATCAACTGAAAACTGTACAAGCCTCTCTGTGGAAGAACTGTTTAAGGTAATACACTGGTTATTATGGGATAGCACCTAGCCAGCCAGGAGGTGGGGAGACCTTTATTCCCATCTGTCCCAAATGACAGTAAGCCTCAGACTTTGGAAAATCTGAGAGTGATTTCCATTAGTCTCCTGAGCATCTTCCCTTAGCCACACTCTAGCATTTCCTTTTCTCCCCCAGCTCTCTACTTCTTCCTCTCAGTAAAGGAGTGAAAAAGCCATTTTCAGCTAGGTGCAGTGACTGCACACCTTTAATCCCAGCACTCGGGAGGCAGAGGCAGGTGGATCTCTGTGAGTTAGAGGTCAGCCTGGTGTACCCAGTAAGTTCCAGGCCAGCCAAGGCTACCTAGTGAGACCCTGTTTCAAAACAACAACAGCAAAAACAAGACAAAACAAAACAACAATGAAACAAATAACCCCTCCAAAATTGACAAAAAACAAACAAGCAAACAAACAAATCAACAGGAAAGTAAGTTTGAGACTTTAATGAGAAATTCAACAACTTGGATGATAAATTCAGCAGAGAGATAGAGATTGTGCCAAAAAGTCAAAATCTTGAAAGTGAAAAGTTAAATCAATCAAATAAACTTGTTCACATTATGTGCAAATTCTGTCTTAGAACTTAAGGCCTTGTTTTAATTAATCAACCAAATAGATCTAGAATTCAATGACTTCCTTTGTAACTCAGTAAGCAGGCCCCTTTTAGGACCACTAGCTTGGGGTGGCTCCCAATTTTCTTCCTTTCATCTGATGCTTTTTGGATTATTATTTTATTTTTTTTTACACAGGACGTGGACATTGCCTCCCGAATTTCCATAGCAGCATCTTCTTTTCTTCCTGAGGGCTTTCTAGAGCCAGACCGAGCACCAAACCCAGGGCCAGGTACTAGGGATGTTGTTCAAGGAATCCACAGGCACTGCCCCCTGGACTACGTCTGCATAGTTGATGCCGTGAAATCCTCCGAAACTACGTCTGGGAATATTGCATTCATAGTGGAGTTATTAAAAAACATCTCTGCAAGTTTGTCTAATGAAGTGACCCGGGAGAAAATGAAGGTACTTAAAAATTAATTTCATTAAAAAGAGATGTGCTATTTTTCTTAGAGTCTTTCATTTTAACAGTTTCAAATGTACTTTTCAGGGTAAAGAGTATCATTGGAGCAACAGCATGGACATTTCCATTCAGCTTTGAGTATTCATAGATTCTTCGTGAAAGTTTCATGAAGTTTGAGTTTTGAATACATAGTGATGACCATGAACAAGACTGAGTCTACCCTATTGTTCTTCAAATATGTTCTGCGGAACACACTGCTAGAGCTTCCGTTTTTAGAAGAGAGTGCTATCTCACAGCCCTGCTAGGAAACTCTGGGTTAAACTAAAGTTAGGCATGCTTCCTTAGGACAGCTCACGTTTTTCCCCTAAGACAGGACCTCATGTAACCTAGGCTGGCTTTGAACTCATTAAATAGCTGAGTATGACCTTGAACTTCTAATCTTCCTGCCCCCACCTAAGTGCTGGAATGACAGATGTGCACTACTACACACATGTCTTGTGCAATTCTGGGAATGGATCCCAGGGCCTCATGTATGCTAGACAGGCATTCTACCATCTGAGTGACATTCTAAGCCCCAAGACAGACCTTTTCAGAATCTTTACTATGATAAGGAACACTGGTATTTGTTATTAAAGAGCAGATAGAAGGCTATGGTGTGCAGTATTTCTCAAATTAATCATGGAATCCACAGTCACTTCTTTCCATGAAACAATCATTCATGTTTACTGGAAATTGAGTTTCTATATTCTGTAGTTTGGACATACTGCCTTGAGTATGGTAATAAAGTAGGAAACTAGACATTCTATCTATAATCTATCTATCTATCTATCTATCTATCTATCTATCTATCTATCTATCTATCAATCATCTATCAATCAATCATCTATCTATCTATCTATCTATCTATCTATCTATCTGTCTGTCT